TTACTCTTCTCTCATTAGTTCTGCTTATTGAATAGTTTGATGGGTTGCATCGTTTTAGTTATCATTTTTAGCAATTTTTTCGTTTGCTGCTGTTTGTTTATTCACTTGATCACTAAATTATTTCGTATGGTTGAATTTAAAATTTCGTCATTTGATTCGTATGCCGTGTGGTTTTTTATTGATTGATGAATTGAGACGAATGAAATTGTTTCAGGCACAACAAATCGACCGGAAAGCATCGATGCATCACTGCGAAGGGCTGGTCGATTCGATAAGGAGATTGCGATTGGTATACCGGATGAAAGAGCGCGCATTAAGATACTTGAAATTGTATGCAGGTGCGTACTGTGTGCGATTTTTTTAAAGTCTGCTTAAACATCGCTAATTGTTTTCTTACATTTTCTGTTTTCGTTTTCTGTTTCCTGATATTTCTTTTTTTCATGATCTTTTTACTTTCTGTTTTCACGTGAGGAACTTTCTTTGAAATTACGGGTTCAGTGAACGGAAATAAAGGTAGTCGCATCGCTCAGTGTATATTTGATTGTCTGTTCAGCGGTATTCGCTTGGATGAAAGTGTGCAAATGCATAATCTAGCACGACTAACTCCAGGCTATGTGGGTGCTGATTTGAAGGCGCTTGCTAGAGAAGCATCAATGTGTGCTGTGAACAGGTAGTGCTTTTTTATACCACAATTGTTTAGTACTAAATTTCAATAAAGATTATCATTCGAGCAATTCAGTTTTGATTTTGCCGTGACCATTTCATTTGAGATAGTGAAATCAGTTGAACTTTTAGGGTTTTTGAAACAGTCGCACGTTCCTCTCAAAGACCGGGAAGGCTGAATATCGAGGAGACGAATGAGGAATTGACAAAGTGTTCGTTTTCTGTGATTGATTTATTTGATGCCTTCAGAAGCCATTTTGGACGGATTTCGCAATTCATCTTTTTGAAACAAAAATAACGTTCATTTTTGAAGCGCACTGTTCATTGTTCTGGAACGCATTCATTGGGAATTGACTTTCATATTATTATAGTTTATATTAATAGGAAGAAAACTGGTGAATCTAATCGCTTCCACTGATATCTTCTATTAATTTAAGTTATGTTCAACAGAAACTATCTGCTTTATTCATATTGTTTTCAGTGTTGGAATGGTTGAAATCAGATCAAATTTTGGATGATAGTAAAATAACGAATTTATTCGTGCAGTTGGACGACTTCAAGAAAGCGTTAACCATAGTGCATCCATCAGCAAAACGTGAAGGATTTGTAACAGTACCGGATGTTTCGTGGCAAGACATTGGCGCACTGAACGAAGTTCGAGAGGAATTGAAATGGAGCATTTTGGTTTGTTTTCAAACTTTTGTGATTATAACTTT